AGAAGTTTCTTGCTACTTCATTCGGTAAAAGTGACGCCGTTTAGTGAATAAGACTGTTCCAGACACTTTTGGCCTCAAAACTACTTTCTAAATTTGTTGAAGGGTTATTAATATGAGGATTTTTTTTAATTTATTAAGTCTTTGAGCATAATTGCTTTTTACTTTTTTTAATTCTCGAAAAAATAGTATTTCTTAATTTAGAATATGTGAATTATTCGAAGTTCAAGAAAATTATCAGAATTTTTTTATATATTTTTCGGATTTTTCAAATGTTAATGCATTAGATTCTTTAAAAGCAGTGTATTTTTGAAAAATATGATATGAGTGTAGTATTGAAAGTGAAGTGTCTGCGCAATTTAGTTTCTTTTTTTAAAATATATATCTTTCATTTAGTAGGCATTTGGTCATGCGATATCATATCACGATATGGAATCGTGAGATGGAATCAGCGTTTGGACATGTGATTTTACGTTGAATCCATATCATGAGATTGATTCTATATTCTCCAAAAACCATGATATGGGAATTCTATATCATGATATGAGATATTTTTAATACAAAAATTGATCCACAAGTTTATATTTGGTTAACACAGCCCCACATTTATATCTACCTAACCATTTATTTCATATGTAAATAAAATTTATAATCACATCATTACTTTTTAAAAATTGTTATTCTCACCTACATAAAATTTATTATTCTTTCCAACATGTAGTCACTTTAACTCACACCAACCGATTGTTGAGTAATAAATTTGTTCTCTTCATTGACTCCAACACCTAATTTATTACTTCTACTGTTTTGTATTTATTACAACTCAAAGTAACAATGTTGGTTTGTCTTCTCGGTCACATGATCGAGAAATGTAAGTTCAACGTGAGGAATTTGTCCGTACTATTGGGGAGGATTATATCAAAGGCTAGTACTCTACAATTTATGTTCAATTTTTTTTTATTGAATTAAAGTTAGATGAGACAGTTACTTAAGTAGAGAACAAATAGCTTTGTAATAATTTATTATGCGATTTTATAATTTTTTGTTTATTTGATAAGATTAAATACATAATTGGGGCTATTTTAATAATTTTACAACTCTTATGGGATTCTTATGTTTGTGAGAAAATGTACAACACAAAAATTTCATATCGCATGTCCAAACAAATACTATATCGCATGGCCAAACGAAATGAGTTTCTTAATTACTTTTTACATTTTCTAGTAGAATAATTAGGCATAATCAAAAGGAAAAAGACACAAATATGTCACCGAACATCGAAAAAAGTCTATTGATGATGTGTGTAGTATAGTATCAAAGCTTTGAGAAGTTTCTTGCTACTTCATTCGGTAAAAGTGACGCCGTTTAGTGAAAATGACTGTTCCAGACACTTTTGGCCTCAAAACTACTTTCTAAATTTGTTGAAGGGTTATTAATATGAGGATTTTTTTTAATTTATTAAGTCTTTGAGCATAATTGCTTTTTACTTTTTTTAATTCTCGAAAAAATAGTATTTCTTAATTTAAAATATGTGAATTATTTGAAGTTCAAGAAAATTATCAGGATTTTTTTCTATATTTTTTGAATCTTTCAAATGTTAATGTATTAGATTCTTTAAAAGTAGTGTATTTTTAAAAAATCTGATATGAGTGTAGTATTGAAAGTGAAGTGTCTGCACAACTTAACTTCTTTTTTTAAATTTTAAATATATATCTTTCATTTAGTAGGTGTTTGGCCATGCGATACCATATCACGATATGGAATCGTGAGATGGAATCAACGTTTGGACATGTGATTTTATGTTGATTTCATCTCATGATTCCATATTCTCCAAAAATCATGATATCGGAATTCTATATTGTGATATGAGATATTTTTAATACAAAAATTGATCCACAAGTTTATATTTTGTTAACACAACCTCACATTTATATCTACCTAACCATTTATTTCATATGTAAATAAAAATTTTATAATCACATCATTAGTTTTAAATTATTATTCTCACCGACATAAAATTTATTATTCTTTCCAACATATAATCACTTTAACTCACACCAATCGATTGTTGAGTAATAAATTTGTTCTCTTCATTGACTCCAACACCTAATTTATTACTTCTACCGTTTTGTATTTATTAAAACTCAAAGTAACAATGTTGGTTCGTCTTCTCGATCACATGATCGAGAAATGCAAGTTCAACGTGAGGAATTTGTCTGTACTATTGGGGAGGATTATATTAAAGACTGGTACTCTACAATTTATGTTCAATTTTTTTTATTGAATTAAAGTTTGATGAATTAAAGTTAGATGAGACAATTACTTAAGTGGAGAACAAACAGCTTTGTAATAATTTATTATGCGATTTTATAAATTTTTGTTTATTTGATAAGATTGAATACACAATTGGGGCTATTTTAATAATTTTACAACTTACGTGATTCTTATGTTTGTGAGAAAATGTACAACATAAAAATTCCATATCGCATGTCCAAACAAAACTTCAATTTCATCTCATAATTCCATATTATGATATCATATCATGATTCCATATCATGATACCATATCACACGGCCAAACGGAATGAGTTTCTTAATTACTTTTTACATTTTCTAGTAGAATAATTAGGCATAATCAAAAGGAAAAAGACACAAATATGTCACCGAACATTGAAAAAAGTCTATTTATACAATTCGTTAAAAGTTTGGCTCATTTATGTTATTTTCGTTTGAAAAAAGACTCATTTATGTCATTATCTGTTGACTGAAAACACTTTTAATTTTACAAAATTATTTTTTACACGTGGTCAATTATGTTTCAATTACGTCATTAATTAAATTATTTTTTAAAAGAAAAAAAATCAAATATGTCATCCAACTTTGAAAAAAGGTTTATCTATGTCATTCGTTAAAAGTTTGGCTCATCTACAAATAATGATATGGATGAGTTTTTTCTTCAAACGAAAATGGCATAGATGAGCCAAATTTTTAATGAATGACATAAATGTCTTTTTCAAAGTTCAATGATATATTAAGCCTTTTGAATAATAATTTTAATTTATGTCCTTAAATAATTTTCTTGTGAAATGTGTCAAATTGTTACAATTCACTTGATATGGATTAGAGAGTATTATTTTTTCTATCTAAAAATACTTGTTTTATCTATTTTCTGAAAGTCAATTGATTAATTTTTAGAATTAAATTATATCAATTAATTTAATGTTTTTAAAATTAAAATTATGTGAAAAAGTTATAAGTTACAATTTTTTTTCATATTTTTATGGTGAAAACGAAATGACAGACAATTTGATTTTGTAAAATTTACTCTCAATCGATTTAGAAAGTATTTTTCTTCAAAATTTTATATGATCGAGCTATAGATATCTATTTTTCACTTATAACTTCAATATTTCTTTTTGCCTTGTCATAAACAAATCTCTCCAAAAAAATACCATTTGTTGAGAGACCCCCTTTAGAAGTTTTAATTTGAAGCAATGATGAATACTTAAATTTTCAGAAGTTAGTGTTTGGATGAGTATACTCTTAATTATTCGTTCCGTATACTACAAGGACCCTCTATACTTGCTTAATATAAAATATAATAAATACCCCCACAAATGTTATATTAAAAAAAGTATTTTAAAAATAAGATGAAACAAAGTATACTAAAATTTTAATAACTTTGAGAATGTATTGAACATTGTATAAAATGCAAACGAAAAAATATACTCACAAAAATTGATTTAAGTTTCTCATAATCATAGTATTAATAATCATAACTATATTATGATTATTATTATTATTATTATAAAAAAAATACTATGTACATGGATTACTTACAATCTACTCATTGAACGTTGACGGTTGACACAGACTTCGGGATCTTTTACGTACATAAATAAACATCGAATTTACCGTTCACTTTTTTAATTGTTATACGTGTATATCATATATTATTAACATTAATTCAATTGAATCCTTTTTTTTTCCTCTCCTCACGCGAGTTTTTTTTTTTTTTTTAAAAACATGAAATTTATGGGTCAAATATTGGGAAACTTATTGAAATTCAACTAGTTTAGGAGTCAATTACTTAGAGGCACGCACTCTAGTTTGCAATATAACGAATCTTATTAGATTTTGATGTATCCAAATATGTCCAGATACGTTGTAGATACACTGTATTCAAATGAATTTTCATGTATCTGAGATACATAACAAATCTCGTTCGTTACTCTCTTATGTATTTGGTATCCTAGATATATGTGAATCGCACCAGATACATATCGATACATATAGTGGCGGAGCCAAGATTTTGACTAAGGAGGTTCAAAATCTAAAAAAATAGACACACGAACTAGGTAAAGGAGGTTCGACATCTACTATATATACATAGAAAAGTAAAATTACTTTAACCATATATAAATTGTATAATTATTCGTCAAAGGGGGTTCAGAGACAAGGTGGCTCTGCCCCTGAATTTACATGTACCTAACGTGATTCACATGTGTCTGGAATACATATCTATCTCGCTAGCCTCCCTCCCTATTTCAATGTATCTGGTTGCAAAAATACATGTATCTAAGTATGGATAAGAAATTCTTAATTAATGATAAAATACGTAATTATTTAAAAATATAGATAAACTTAATATATATGATATAAATATATATCTTATAACATAAGTTTTTCCTTAAATTTGTGGAATGTTTCAAGTATTCTCTACTGGTTTGCGTAGAGAAGGATTCAAATCATTGAATAATATAACTTACGTTTTACATATCCAATATGCTAGCTTACAGCAATAATATCATAGCTTACATTTTACATATCCAATTTGCTAGCTTACAGCAACGGTCCAACTCATCAACCAACGTACGATCTACGTGTCATGTTATTATTTTATTTGACACGTGGATTTTACAAATTCCAAGTGGCTAACATGGCTTCTATATATTTACATAAACTCATTTTCCCCTCTTTACACATTCAAATACATCCATTAATATCCATATATATATCCCTCTAACTTGTTTTTTTTTCCTTCTAAATAAATTTGTCCTTTAATTTGACGGTTATATCCTTGGTAAACCGAATTATTTGATTTATAAGAAAAAAAAGGGATGAAGGGCAATAATGGAAATCCATTAGCTTTGACATCCTTAAATCATATATCCCGTGTTTGTACATCACTTGAAGAATCTATTGATTTTTACAAAAATGTTCTTGGATTTATCCCTGTAAGAAGACCTACATCTTTCAATTTCAATGGCGCTTGGTAATTTCACGATTTAAATTCTTTTCTTTCGTATCGTTATTATTTCATCCGTCTCATTTCATGTAGCACTATTTTCTTTTTAGTCTTTTAGAATATCAACTTTTTAAAATTAGAAATAATTTAATTTTAAAAATTTCTAACTTATTGTCACATGAATATCTAATTCATTGTCATAGGGCACAATTTTTTTTTTTAAAATCTTAAATATTATGTCAAGTTAAACCATCCCACGTAAAATGGTATGCAGAGAGTATTAATTATGGGAAAGGAAGAATGTCAAATATATATATACAGATACTAATCAAATTAAAGGGAGAAAATAAAGTACAAGAATGTCAAATACATATACAGATACTAATCAAATTAAAGGGAAAAAAATAAAGTATAAAAGAAACTAATTTGTCCTCTTTTCATTTCAATTTGTTTAACCTCCGATCAAATAAAAATAAAATTGTTTGACCTGTTATTTTAGCTCATTTAAAAAAGAATGATTTTTTTTCTTTTTAATAATTTTTTAATTTTAACTTTTGGTAGTATCTTTAAGATCATAAGATTAAATTACATTTTGATATATTTGACATTTATGAAATTTAAAACCATAACATTTAAAATTATTTTTAATATTTTCAAACTTTATATCAAGTCAAAATATATCAAATAAATTAAAACGGAGGTAGTAATATAATTGATATGATATTACCTATATATTTCGATTTTGAATAATCAATTTTTTGTCAAACTTTTGACCTGGGATTCTTGTTTTACGAATAGGTTATTTGGTCACGGGATAGGGATTCATTTACTTCTGTTGGAAGAATCAGAAAAATTGCCAAAGAAAACTGAAATTAATCCCAAAGACAATCATATGTCTTTTCAGGTTCTTGTTTTTTATTTTTCCCTTTTGTTTACTTGTGTATTTTCTATACTAGTAATAATTTGAGTTAGAGCCAGGATCAGGACTTAGGAGTTTGGGTTCTAAAGAAAAGAAAAGTATTGTAAAGCATGTTTTCCTTAAAAAGAAAAACTTTTGATGATAATGGAGTTCAAACTCACAACTCTATCGTGGCAGAGCATTTCACGACCCCTTTCTTACCACTAAGCCACCAGTCAATTTTGTTAGGAAGTTCACAAGTTAATTTATATATTTATTTTTCTAATACAGATACAAGATCTACGAAAAGGCAATTGAATTCGTCCGAACCCATGAACCCCCACCTAGTCGGCACAATTTGTTCATGCATGAGATCATGTTATATATATATATATAATGTTATTAAGTTTGCGTGAAAAACAGAACTATCGATTGGGAAAATGTAAAAAAATAAATTGAAATCATAAAAAGACAGAGACAACATATATATAAGAGAAAAACTTATATACTCCATATAGTTTCATAATTTAACTTGTTATAGCGCATTGTATTGTAGTTGGGTGTAACGAAGAATTATGACTTCAATCGAATTCAAATTAGTCGTAGTAGTATTTTAATTGATCTTGAATCAATAACACATGTTCAAATTCTAGATCCTCCTCGTAGTAATTCTGTCTTACGTACTAAACAGAATTACCTTAGGTTTTACAATATTAGTGCATATAATTATTTAGACTGACGTTTGTTTCTAATTAAACTTTGCATGCATGCAGTGTGAGAGCATAGATGGAGTGGAGAAGAAGCTTACAGAAATGGGGATTGAGTACGTTAAACAGCTAGTTGAAGAGGGAGGGATATATGTGGATCAACTCTTTTTCCATGATCCAGATGGATTTATGGTTGAAATTTGCAATTGTGATAAACTTCCTATCATTCCACTTGTTGGGGAGATGACTAGGTCTTGCTCCACACATAATCTTCACACAACATCACAAATGGAATATGTCCCACTCAATTATATTCCTTAAACTAGAAGTTAATTAGTGCTCCTTGGTTTAACACTTATTCAGAATTGTTGTTATATTAAATTAATTTGGCAATTATATGTCGAAATGTTCAAATGGATGATAGTTTTGGTAGCTTTATTGATTTGAAATGTGACCTGGATTTAGGTACATAAATGTTGAATAAGTACTTAATTTATATCGGAGATCGAATGTTGACTAAAGTAAATTCAAGTATTTTGAACTTTAAATTTTCAATCAGCAACTTGAATCACTCGTGAATGCCTTGGGACCGAATCAATTATGCAACTAATTCAAAAGTCCTCTTTTGGATCTAACGAAATTGATGAAATTTTCTCCCGTTAGTTCTTAACAGTGAAAAGTTAAATTTAGGGTTTAAGATCAAAATGATATACATTTTACATATATATATTAAGGACTATTTCTATCAAGTAATATATATTAAGGACCAAAATAAATCAACCTATGAAGGACCATTTTGATCATTTTCTCTAAATAACACTATTCTTGGGAAACTTCTTTTTTAATTTGTCTCCTGATCTATATACTAAATATCTATTGGTCCAAATAATATAGATTGCGTTATGTATGACCCATTAAAAATAAATATTTTTTTAAGACTAAAACCCGAAATCTCTATTTAAAAATATAAGATTGCATCCATCCCTATACATTTCGGTGGTAAAATTATACTGATGACTTCATTATAAAACACACAAGAATAGACCACATTATATATCTCTAGGGTGGCATTCAATTATTCGATTTGGATTACTGTTATTTGTATTCAAGTTATTCATTATGAAAAAAAGTATAAGCTAACTAAAACCAGAATAAATTGGGAGTAGTGATTAAGTTTTTCTCTTTGATATTCTGCACGTCTTGACAAATTTATCTGTTTTTTTTATACTTTGTTACCAACTAAGAAATGCAATAAATTTTCGTATAATTTTTGAATATTCAAATTTATTGTTTAAAATATCAAATTAATGTAATCTAATTAACTCTTGAAAATTAGTCAAATTATCTTTCGAAAAACACAACATGACAATTAAAAGTGGACGGAGGGAGTAATTGCGCTTCTAGGAAAGCTGGAAATAGTACAACTAGATAGATATTGTTGTAGTGTGCATGCTAGCTAGCAACAAATCATAGTTGCTACAGCTTACAGTCTACAATAGTAGTAATATATAACAAAAATAAAGACGAAATTAAAAAAATATTTTAGCGTTAGGAAAAATATTTTACTCAACATCAAACTTTAAATTGTGAATCCGCCTTTGGTAATATTGTCAGCAGAAGCAGTGCCTGTAGTGGTGTTGCTAGGGTGATTGTTTCCCAGAGTGTTCTTGACACCTTAAGCAGTGTTTTGAGCCATGTTTGGTCGTTATCGGTTTACCCAAAAAGAAAATGTTCGTAAAATATTATATAACTTCTCACTTCTCTAAATTCTTTGATATAGTGAAACAAGAAAGATAATAAAAAATTGCATCAATAAGAGAAAATATAGTACGAAGGCTATAATTACATGTCACCGCCAAAACATAGTATGAAATTTCTAATGTTAATCAAATTACTGACCTTTACAAACTTGCAAAAGCTACAACCTACAATTACAAACTAAAACTAAAATCAAATAGTTTAACAAGACTAAAACTAAAACTAAAATCAAATAGCTACAATTGCGAACCCTTACTTTAGGTTTTGAATAAACAATAAAGACTAGTAAAGCGGCCTAGTGTGAAGTGGGTAGAGTATTAATAATTTGATATAGTTATTGCGTCTGGTTATATATTAAATTATAAATATTTAATATTTAGAAAGGGTAAAGTAAATTATTACCGTCTTATTGGATTATCGATTTACCCAATAACCCAATAGTAAAAACCGAAACTGAACCAATAACCCAATAACTTTTTTTTTAAAACCCAATAACTTTTTTTCGGTTCGGTTTTTGCACACCCCTAACAACTACAACTACCAGTATACATTTAAGTAATTCAAATTGCTGCCAATCCAGTATTTCATGAAAGGACCAAGCACATTGAAATTAATTGTCATTTCACAAGGGAAGAAATTCAGAAATGATTGGTCAGAACAGAACACATATCAACCAAAGACCAGCCAGCTGATATTCTTACAAAAGGCCTAAGCAGGCTACAACATGAAGTTCTTGTGGGATCCATTCCCATGTGCCAAACTTTGAACAATTCTCACAATTTCAAAGGTTGGCAGATTTGGATATACATGTGTTGATTTATTTTTTAGCTTTCCTTAAAAGTCAAATGTTGGTAAGCTGTGAAGAAGAAAAAAATATTTTTCTTCTGTAGAGGCTACTGCATTTGTTCTCTATAAAATGGAGGGTCATTCTTCATTCTAAAATGCACCAAAAACAAAGGAAAGAAAAGAAGAGTGAGGCATCACAGAGGAAAATAGTCTATGAGGAAAAATAGAGAGTGTGAACGATATTGTAGTGAGGTGGGAAAATCAAAAGAGGGTTATTTCTTTTGAGTGTGTAGTGGTCTTTGGAGTTTTTACTCAGACCTACAAGTGTAAAAATCCTTACTATAGTGATATCAGTTGCTCTTCTCAGGCCGTAATTTTTTCCTTATTCAGGAGGGTTTCCAGGTAAAATCTTGGTGTCATTATTGCTCTTTTTTATTCTTGTTGATTAACTGTATTGTTGTGTTCCGCTTTTATTGCTTTTATTACCGCAAATATTATTTCTATTGCGGATTTATTCCCAACAATTGGTATCAGAGCACAAGTTCTGCTCATTTACAGAAATATTTTTACAGTATATCGTTCTAGACTCAGTGACAAAAAAAATGTCTGGAACGAAGTACGAGGTAACAAAATTCAATGGTGATAGCGATTTCTCAATGTGGCAGAGAAGGATGAGGGATTTACTCATCCAACAGGATTTACACAAGGCACTAGGCGGCTAATCCAAAAAGGCCAAATCCATGAAACTTGAGGATTGGGAAGAAATGGATGAAAAGGTTGCTAGTGCAATCAGGTTGCACTTAACTGATGATGTGGTTAATAACATCATCGATGAAGAGAGTGCATGTGAGATTTGGACAAAGTTAGAAAATCTATACATGTCCAAAACGCTGACAAATAAATTGTACCTAAAGAAGCAGTTATACACCCTACATATGGGTGAAGGCACAATTTTTTTTGTCCCATTTAAATGTGCTTAATGGACTAATCACGCAGCTAGCAAACTTTGGAGTAAAGATCGAGGAGGAAGATAAATTCATAGTGCTCCTAAACTCGTTGCCATCTTCCTACGATAATTTGACAACAACCATCTTACATGGTAAGGACTCTATTGAGTTGAAGGATGTCACATCAACCCTTCTGCTCAATGAGAAGATGAGAAAAAGCCTGAAAATCACGGACAAGCTCTCATCACAAAAAGTAGAGACAGAAGTTACCAAAAGAGTTCAAGCAACTATGGTAGATTCGGAGCTCGTGGAAAGTTCGAGGTTCGATCAAAATCAAAGGCCAGAAATTGCTACAATTGTGAGAAACCAGGTCACTTCAAAAGAGATTGTCCGAATCTAAAAATAAGCAAAGGAGAAAGCAGCGGCCAGAAGAATGATGACAACATAGTTGCCATGGTGCAAAATAATGACAATGTTGTTCTTCTCATAAACGAGGAAGAGGAATGCATGCACTTGGCAGGTGTAGAGTCGGAATGGGTGGTCGACACAACAACATCTTACCATGCCACACCGGTAAGAGATCTTTTTTGTAGATATGTAGCAGGTGATTTTGGAAATGTGAAAATGGGTAACACAAGTTACTCAAAGATTGTAGGGATCGGAGACGTTTGCATAAAGATAAATATCGGATGCACATTAATTTTGAAACATGTGCGCCACGTACCTGATTTGCAAATGAACTTGATCTCGGGAGTTGCTTTGGACCGAGATGGATATGAGAACTAATTTGCAAATAAAAAATGGAGACTCACCAAAGGGGCATTGGTAATTGCAAAATAAGTTGCTCGTGGCACATTATATAGAACAAATACAGAAATATGCCAAGGTGAATTGAATGCAGCTCACTAAGAGATTTCTGCAGATTTGTGGTATAGAAGAATGGGTCATATGAGTGAGAAAGGATTGAAAATTCTTTCCAAAAAATCACTCATTTCTTTTGCCAAAGGTACAATGATAAAATCTTGTACCTACTGTTTATTTGGTAAGCAACATAGAGTCTTATTTCAGACATCATCTGAAAGAAAGTTGAATATACTTGATTTGGTAAATTCTGATGTTTGTGGTCCAATGGAGATAGAATCGATGGGAGGTAATAAATACTTTGTTACCTTTATTGATTATGCTTCACAAAAATTGTGGGTTTATATCTTGAAAACCAAAGATCAGGTGTTTCAAGTATTTCAAAAGTTTCATGCTCTGATAGAAAGAGAGACGGGTCGGAAGCTAAAACGTCTCCGAACTGACAATGGAGGTGAGTACACTTTAAGAGAATTTGAAGAGTATTGTTCAATCCATGGAATCAGACATGAAAAGACAGTTCCTGGAACCCCACAACACAATGGTGTAGCTGAGAGAATGAATCGCACCATTGTTGAGAAGGTGAGAATCATGCTCAAAATGGCTAAATTACCTAAGTCATTTTGGGGTGAAGCAGTTCGGACAACACGTTATCTTATCAATCGTAGTCCATTAGTTCCATTGGAGTTTGACATTCCAGAGAGAGTTTGGACCAACAAGGAGGTGTCCTACTCGCATATAAAGGTGTTTGGTTGCAAAACTTTTGCACATGTACCGAAGGAGCAGAGAACCAAGATGAATGATAAATCAGTTCCCTGCATATTCATCGGATATATATGGAGATGAAGAATTCGGGTACAGACTGTGGGATCCTTTAAAGAAGAAGGTCATCAGAAGTAGAGATGTAATCTTCTGAGAAATTGAAGTTGGAACTGTTGATGATCTATTCGAGAAGGCCAAGAAAAAGAATGGTATAGACCTTAATCTTGTTACTATTCCTTTTACTTCTAACCATCCTATAAGTGCAGAAAGTACGATCGACGAAGTTGCAGAACAGGAAGAGAAACCTAATGAGATTGTTGAGCAGGGGGAGCAACTTGGTAATAATATCAAGCAAGTGGAGTACCTGGAAGAAGAACAATCTCAACCTCTGAGGAGATCAAAAAGACAAAAGGTAGAGTCATTCAAGTACATTTCCTCAGAGTATGTCCTTATCAATAATGAAGGGGAGCCAGAAAGTCTTAAAGAGATGTTGTCTCATCCAGAAAAGAGCCAATGGATGAAAGCCATGCAAGAAGAGATGAAATCTCTACAGAAAAATGGCACATACCAGCTAGTTGAACTTCCAAAAGGCAAAAGACCGCTTAAGTGCATGTGGGTCTTTAAACTCAAGAAAGATGGAAATGAAAAGTTGGTCAGGTACAAAGCTCGATTGACTGTAAAAGGATTCGAACAAAAGAAAGGTATTGATTTTAGTGAAATCTTTTCACCTGTTGTCAAAATGACTTCTATTCGAACTATTTTGAGCCTAGTAGCTAGCCTAGATCTTGAAGTGGAGCAATTGGACATGAAAACTGCATTTCTTCACGGAGATTTGGAAGAAGAGATTTATATGGAGCAACCAGAGGGATTTGAAGTCTGGAAAGAAACACATGGTGTGCAAATTGAATAAGAGCCTTTATGGGTTGAAACAGGCACCAAGGCAATGGTACAAAAAGTTTGACTATTTTATGAAAAGTCAAACATACACAAAGACCTATTTTGATCCATGTGTATACTTCAAAAGATTTTCTGACAACAATTTTATTATTTTATTATTGTATGTGGATGACATGTTAATTGTAGGACAAGACAAAGATTTGATTGCAAGGTTGAAGAGGGATTTGTCCAAGTTATTTGACATGAATGACTTGGGCCCAACACAACAAATTCTAGGGATGAAAATTATTTGAGAACGAACAAAAAGAAAGAAATGGCTATCTCAAGAGAAGTACATTGAACGTGTACTAGAACGCTTCAACATGAAGAGTGCTAAACCTGTTAGCACGCCTCTTGCGAGTCATCTGAAGTTGAGCAAACAGATGTGTCCTACAACAAAAGAGGAGAAAAAGGGAATGAACAAAGTTCCTTATTCTTCAGCAGTGGGGAGTTTGATGTATGCAATGGTGTGTACAAGACATGATATTGCTCATGCAATTGGTGTTGTTAGCAGATTCCTTGAAAATCCTGGAAAAGAACACTAGGAGGCAGTTAAGTGGATACTCAGGTACCTAAGAGGTACCACAAGAGACTGCTTGTGTTTTGCTAATATGGCAGGTGACCCCGATAACAGAAAATCCACTACTGGATATTTGTTTACATTTTCGGGGGGAGCTATATCATGGCAGTCAAAGTTGCAAAAGTGTGTTGCACTCTCTACAACTGAGACAAAATATATTACAGCTACTGAAGCTGGCAAAGAGATGGTATAGCTGAAACGATTTCTTTAAGAACTTGGATTGCATCAGAATGAGTATGTCGTCTATTGTGACAGTTAAAGTGCAATAGACTTGAGCAAGAACACCATGTATCATGCAAGGATGAAGCATATCGATGTGAGATATCACTAGATTCGGGAAAAGATAAAGGATGGATCTATGCAGGTCATGAAGATCCCTACTAGTGAAAACCCTTCAGATATGCTAACCAAGGTACTATCAAGAGACAAGTTCGAGCTTTGCAAAGAACTTGTCGGCATGCACTCAAGCTAGAAACTTAGAGCTAATGGGTCTGGAGGGGGAAATTGTGGGGTCCATCCCCATGTGCCAAACTTTGAACAATTCTCACAATTTCAAAGGTTGGCAGATTTGGATATACATGTGTTGATTTATTTTTCAGCTTTCCTTAAATGTCAAATGTTGGTATAAGCTGTGAAGAAGAAAAAAATATTTTTCTTTTGTAGAGGCTACTGCATTTGTTCTCTATAAAAGGGAGGGTCATTCTTCATTCTAAAATGCATCAAAAACAAAGGAGAGAAAAGAAGAGTGAGGCATCACAGAGGAAAATAGTCTGTGAAGGAAAATAGAGAGTGTGAGCGATATTGTAGTGAGGTGAAAAAATCAAAAGAGGGTTATTTCTTTTGAGTGTGCAGTGGTCTTTGGAGTTTTTACTTAGACCTACAAGTGTAAAAATCCTTATTATAGTGATATCAGTTGCACCTCTCGGGCCGTGATTTTTTCCTTATTCAGGAGGGTTTCCATGTAAAATCTTAGTGTCATTATTGCTCTTTTTTATTCTTGTTGATTAACCGTATTGTTGTGTTTCACTTTTATTGCTTTTATTACCGCAAATATTATTTCTGTTGTGGGTTTATTCCCAACAGTTCTCATGTCCAAGCTAGGAATGTATAATATGTTTACCACTCTTAGCTTGAGGGGGTTATTGGACAAAATGATAGTGTAAGGCCCAAAGTAAATTGTGGCCCAATAAACTGATAAGCCCATATAATTGGATAGTTAGAATTAGTTAGCTATAAAGATCCTAAATGTACTCTTAATAAAGTTAAGGCTTTTTCTCTAAACTCTCCATTGAATCAATAAGAAATCTTCTCTCTTCTTGCATGTTCTTCATTCTTCTTCTTTATTCTTGAATATCTTCTTCACAACAGTCACTGAGTTCAATCATTCTAGGGAATTCTCTTTTCACCACTTTATTGACATATTGAAGTTTCTCGTGGAAATATATTAGTGAATTGGTTCCACTCATAAGGGATGATAAGTAGTCATTTACATTAATTATTAGTTTGTCTTTCCCATAAACTCTATGTACAACACACAAATACATTGTTATAGGTGTCGAAGTAAGGGACTTTCTTATCGGAGCATACATAACGGATAAGGGCTTATAAGACTATGCTTAGTTTGTTATTAAAATCTTTATTCAGGATGGATAATGAATGCAAGCGAGATGAATTGAAATATAAAAACTACAACTACAGATTTGATCTCTTAAAAAAATATGTTTTTCTATCAAAATATGACGATCGGGAATGAAAAAAATTCAATCTCGATTTAAACCTTCAATGGTGGTTCTTTAAAATTTTCTACAACTATTCACCAATTAAAGACTCGAATGTTCAATCAAAAACGCATGAAACAAGATGATTAGACAAAAGGTGGAATAACGACTCTTATAATTAGTTTTGGAATTGTTAGCTACTAGATGCCTAATAGTTTTAGGTTACTTGTGCCAAACGCAAAATTTTGGCCAACTTAATTCCAATAATAGCTAAAAGTTATATAATTCTGTCATTCCTCTTGAACTTATATTATATCAACCTGAATTACAATTAATTTTAGACCCATAACTTAATTTCGCCAGAGTTACTTCCTGGGGCTAGTAAAAAACACTTTCTTGGGAAACTTCTTTTTTAATTTGTCTCCTGATCTATTTACTAAATATCTATTGGTCCAAATAATATAGATTATGTTATGTATGACCCATTAAAAATAAATATCTTTTTTATGACTAAAATCGGAAATCTCTATTTAAAAATATAACATCTCATCCATCCCTATACGGTGGTAAAATTATATTGATGACCTCATTATAAAACACACAAGAATAGACCACATTATCTCTAGGGTGGCATTCAATTATTCGATCTGGATTAGTGTTATTTGTATTCAAGTTATTCATTATGAAAAAAGTGTAAGCTAACTAAAAATAGAATAAATTCTTATTGATTAATTAAGTTTTTCGCTTTGATATTCTGCACGTCTTGACAACTTTATCTATTTTTTTATACTTTTTTACCAACTAAGAAATGCAATAAAGTACGAATATTGTATCGGCTTACAAAAGTAAAAAAATCACGACATACACCTCTGCAGAATTTGTCCCAAATCTACTAAAATAATGAGTCTCGACAGAATTTTGATTACAAAAGTTACAAGCTAGGAACTAACTCTAGTTCTCAAAGCAATAAACTTCATAGGTTGTTGCTTCCCTTATCAAGATAAGTATAACTTAAAAATAAGTTTCTATTTTTGTTTATTCTTAAATACTTTCTCTGTCCACTTTTAACTGACATGCTTTTTTTTTTTAGAGTCAAATAATATGAACTTTGACTAACATTTTACATGTATTTTTCATCATATTGATATGTAAAAAATTGCTATTTATAGTACTTTTCATATAGTTTTTGAATATCTAAATTTGTTGTTTAAAATATCAAATTAATATAATCTAATTTAACTTTGAAAATTAGTCAAATTGATTTTTGAAAACGCAACATGACAATTAAAAGTGAACGGAGGGACTGCTGCTTCTAGGAAAGCTGGAAATAGTACAACTCGATATATAAATATTGTTGTAGTGTGCATGCTAGCTAGCAACAAACCATAGTTGCTATAGCTTACAGTCTACAATAGTAGTAATATAACAAAAATAAAGACGAAATAAAAATTATTTAAGCGTTAGGAAAAATGTTCCACTCAACATCAAATTTTAAATTCTGGATCCGCCTTCGGTAATATTGTCAGCAGAAGCAGTGCCTGTGGTGGTGTTGCTAGGGTGATTGATTCCCAGAGTGTTCTTAACAGCTTCAGCAGTGTTTTGAGCCATGTTTGCAGCTCCATGAGCCACATTAGATGCACCTTGTGTTGCACCTTGTGCTGCTCCTTGAGCCATATTTGCAGCTCCATGAGCCACATTAGCTACACCTTGTGCTGCTCCATGAGCCACATTAGCTGCACCATGTACTGCTCCTTGAGCCATATTTGCAGCTCCATGAGCCACATTAGCTACACCTTGTGCTGCTCCATGAGCCACATTAGCTGCACCATGTACTGCTCCTTGAGCCATATTTGCAGCTCCATGAGCCACATTAGCTACACCTTGTGCTGCTCCATGAGCCACATTAGCTGCACCATGTACTGCTCCTTGAGCCATATTTGCAGCTCCATGAGCCACATTAGCCGCTCCTTGTGCTGCTCCTTGAGCCATGTTCTTCACTTGCGTTCCGGTCTTTAATCATCAACCACTTATCAGACATATTTAATTAATTACTAAAATTAACAAAATATCATACTAACATGAGGATTTGTAAATGGGCGGTTCAGATTGAATTTGTTGGCTTAAAGATGGTTGAATCAATAAATGGATGATTTCAGCACCTGTTGAAAAGTTACTTAGGTTGAACTGAATTCGGTCAAGAATAATCTAACCCTCGTAACACTTATTGAATTTAAACTTATTGTTTATTTTCTTCTATATTTTATTTAATAACCAAATAAAATTAATATAAAAAATTTATCCTATCTATATTTAAATATTTTGATGCAGTTTCTCATGAATCAACTTAAACTACATACTTAACACAAATCAATTACTACTTTTAAATTTGTGAAATTTGAACGGATTAAAATAGACTGAATTAATAAATAACAGATAAATCATAAACATCAAATTAGATAAAGTAATATTTTCAATGGCCCATTTTGCCACCCATACTCTAACATATGGTACAGTTATGTTAATACCTCTTGAAGTAAATTGGTTACTTGGTCTTGGTCTGTCGATTCATCCCTTCTTATCTGCAATTGATGGGGAAAAAGTTACTTTACTATTACTATATAGAATTGTGTCATCTAACACTACTTTGCAAGAATTTAATTAAATGTATCGAATTATGATAATAAATTATAATGTCACTTGTGCAAATTCCAAAGAGAAAAAATGATCTTCTATAATCAGTTACAATTAAATAAATTTTGAAATATCTTCTGTCTTATTCATCAATTTCTTATGTTATATTTTAAAGATCTCATGTAAAAAGTAAATGTAATGAGACATGAAATCGATCGCTTCGCTAAAGGTAAAGTGAGCATAATAATATATAAATCGAGTATACCTGAGCTTGGCCGGGAACTTTACCACTGCTATAGAAGTCTTTGCTAGCCATGTTAATTAATTTTGTGATTTATGTTTGTGTTATGAAGTAAGGTAGTAATTGAATGCAAATTATGATGAAATGATTTGATATGTGGGAAAATATATATAGGTGGATTTATGTGCTCAAAGGTGAGCTAAATGGATTCATTTTCTAACTTATGGAGGACAAAATTCAAGAACTTGATTGGTACTAGCATGAACTATGGCTTTGGATTGGTTAACAACATATCAAAAGGAATTCTTGATCCGTTTTTTTTGGGATAAAATAGAAAAGAAATTGCTAAAAAATATTTTCTTGTAAAATGTTTCCTAAAAGACAAGTTTTTATTTATTTTTTAGTGTTTGATAAGTAATTAACAAAAAATATTTTCTTAAAAGTATTTTATATATAATTTAGGAAAATGTTATATAAGCGGGGTGGAGGGTAGGAGTTGGGGGGAGGCGAGGGTATGTAGGTGGGGTGAAAGTGGAGTGTGTTGGAACTTGAAAGGTGGGGAGTAGACAATTAATGTGAAATGTCCGAGACAATTAACGTGAAATATCATGTATAAAATTTGTTTTCTCTACTATTGTATAGCCCCAACGACGACAATCATTATACCTCAATAGCCCTTTAGGTAATCTTTATATATCTCCTTAGGCAATTTATATATATCCCCAAAGACAATCTGAATATAGACCTAAGGCAATATGCATATAGCCCTGAATGCCCCTTGGGAAATCTGTACATAGCCTTGAAGGCACTAAGTCAAATCCCTAGCCTAGAGGGCAACAACAAACAATAATCAAATAGCCCCAAAGCAAGCAATGTGGCTTTAAGTGACTTATATGACTAAATCATTACACTCTATCTAAATATGTGGTCACTAATAATAGACTATAGATCCCAACGAGGAATTTCTATATCTATCCCAATAGCTAACAATCAAATAAGGCTACGAGTGATTTGATTATAGCAACTAGTCATATCTTTCCTAAGTTTTATTGTATCTTGAGTAGTACACTTGGCTCTTGTATCTATATTTTGAACCTTTTGGGCTTATATATTTGTATTTGAGACTTTTTGGGATCCTAAAACTGCACCTCGAGCAAACAAGGCTCTACTAAGGGCCACTAATGTCAAATTAGGCGTTAAGCAAGTTCATGAGTAAGTAGACATCAATATGACTCTACATGCTTCAAGATGGTCTCTTTGGACATTTTATAGCTCTTCTAAGCAAAATATAGACACATAGTCAAGGTACGCTTGTCAATAAACTTTCTAGGCAACATGTAAAGAGAAATCTATATGTATATGGCTCAAAGAATTAATCCTACATACTAATAGATGATGAGATAACAACTATATGCATCAAACAATCTTCAAACTTATAAACAAATAAGGTGATTTTCTAAGCGACCTACCTACACAACAATTTGTATGTCGTATCAAAGTATAAGGTTGCTAACAAATAGGTGAAACACCTGACATATCACCACCATAACTCAATAGGCAGCCATGATGCTATTTATCCGAAGATAAAATTACTACTCTAATTCTTTAGTTCTACCGGCGTCAAGATACGCCAAAGGCCTATAAGCGAGTTATGTAGTTTATAATTGTTGCAAATTGCAATCATATACACCAAACCAATTGTTGTGTTGTCAATATCAATATGAAATTCTAAGCAACTAATTACAAACTCCTTAAGGCATTGGTGAGACAATGAACTATCAATAGATAATTACAAGAAGATTCTTACGTCACTTTTAACATGCGGCAACAACTAAACAAGACTAAGAGCCCGTTTGGACAGACTTAAAAAAGTAATTCTTAAGTAAAAAATTAAAAGTCAAACTTAAATGACTTTTAAGTCAAAAAATAAAAAGTAGGAAAAGATCTACTTTTGGTTTTTAATTTATTTTAAGTCGTTTTAAACTTGTTTTAAGTTATTTTTAACCTTGTCAAACACTTCCTAACTTATTTTAAATCATTTTAAACTTATTTTAAGTTATTTTTATATTTGTCAAACACTTCCAAAAATCAAAATCTGACTTTAAAAAGTAGGTTTGACCAACTTTTAAGCCAATCCAAATACCCTCTAATCCCGATAAGGGAAGATCACATGTATACATATATATAACTCAGTAGCCAACTTCATCAACAATCATTATGGTTGCGGTGAGTACTATGGTGATAAAGAACAAGTCGTATCAACTATACGATGCTGAAGAAAACTTGTAGAGAAGGTTTATCCTTAACATACCTTGTAAGCAATCCAATATGATACTTAAGCAGAATAAGAACAATACACTAAACTCAACCGCCACCTTAAACAGTTCACAACGTACATACAAACAGAAAAAAGATTCTTACGTCGATAAAAGCGTATAACTTCAAAATTTACGATAGAAGAGGGCTTAGAAATCTTTACCTAATGTTATATGAAGGAAAACAATACATACATAACAACCCACACGATGTTCTTCTGTAATCTCACAAAAATGTGAATATCTCTCTATTTTGAAGTTGTAATTTGATAATTTTTGGTCCCTCCAACTCTCTCTCTATATATAGGGAGAAAAGATCCAAGACTTTGACCCAAATTTCTGAAAGCTTATCAAAATAACTTACGATAATTTTTCAAGAATTTTATTTTACAACTTGCGATTTCACATCTTATCATTCGATCATTGTGATTTGAACACCTCATAACATATCCTTCTTATGGTATTCTGCACTCTTGTCCAAAGTATGAGCATGTCACGACCCAGACCATCATGATTGACATTCACACTAATCTTTCGGTGGGAGAACCACTACTACAACTAAAACAGAAACTAAAGCATTAAGGATACGAAACAAGTTAAATACTAAGGAAAGAAATAAGGAGTTCCCATAAACTCCTACCCAACAGTCTAACAACTAAACAAATGTGGAAAATACGCCTAGAACTTGAAAGTCAATGTACCAAAACATCTAAAGGTCAACAAGTCTAAACAAGAAGGGATACAGCCACGAACTAATGATTATGCCGGAATGGAGCAATCGATCCCATAATTATGCCGGAACGTGGCAACCGATCCCAATTAGTTATGTCGGAATGTGGCAACCAATCCATTCAATACACCACAATCACAATCATAAGTATCTTCTCAAGTTCATACAAATAAGTCATGATTAATGACATTCATCATTCATCTATCTCATCTACAACAAGTGTGATCAATACGACAACATTCACATACATATATGTATCATAATGAAGCAAGAACAAACATACATCACACAATCATAGAATCACAATCATCACCTACCTCGAAACAAGCTTAAAACCCGAAGAAATTTGATCCTTCCCTTTCCGAATTCGTTCTGCTTGTTCTTGGTCTACAAACAATCAATATAATACGAGAATCAATAAACAATCACTAATTACTCGAATTGCTAACAATTCTATGAACCCTAGATCATACCCATGATCCCAAGTATCCAAAATAGGGCTGTTTTCACCATAGAATCTAGATCAAAACCCTCCACCATCGATAATTAATTACCCATTCTAATACGTTCTAAGGATCGAAAAATGGATTTGGGGAGTGAAAAGCTTACCTTTAGCCTCAAAAATGGTGGAAAACTGTCAAGAGTCGCCTAGGGTTCGTTCCTTAGCTCTAAAAATTGAAAAGTGAAGAATAAAGTCGTTTAGGGGTTTATTTACGACTTTAAGTCACGTCTGGCCCGCCACAACGGCCATCACCCCGCTACAGCAGCCCCGCTAGAGCGACAAACCCCAACGCCAAAGCGGCCTGCATGAAACAATGAGCTATTTTAATAATTCCAAGACCCACATTTCACAACACACCTCTAACCAACGACACTAAAAAAATCCTCTTCATGCTAAGATCGATTTCGGGAATTTTACTCGCTCGAATTCAATTCCGTAAAGTCGTATGGATTCCTTAACGACTTATCTAACTACTCATGTAATCAAAATCATAAATAAGTCACCCAATTGTTACCAAATTTCTCCACACCTCAAAGACTCCGATTTCGTCCATATCTAGACTAGGTTGGG